TATCTCTCCCGAGTAAGACCCCCACCCCATAGAGGAGAGCATGACTAAAGACTGTGTGTACGCTATCCCGTGCAGCTGCGGAAAGAAATATAAAGGGGAGACAGGCCGCCCCTTTAATATAAGGCTTCAAGAACACCAGAAAGCTGTAACACGAGGGGAAGTGGAAAAATCAGGCGTCGCTGACCACATATGGAGAGAGAAGGGAGATCACCGCCCTCTGTGAGATCAGGTTGAGATCATAGACAAGGAACTTCGTGGGGAGGCTGGTAAATATCGTCTAGTTGGGATCTGTTGAGTACGACTCAGGCTTACGCGAGAACTACCGACTTTCCAATAGTAGCACACACTACTGGATTGACTTGCGACGACCGTGCGCATAACTGTTACCTGATTTCTTATTGTACTGTTTTTTCAATAAACCTTTACTTACTTATCCACCGTTTGTCAAGTATATATTCCTATTAGCACGGAATATAACAATAAACGAACCCTTGCATATTATATTCCAACTATTATGCATGTGAAAAATAATAAGTACTCATATTAGACCATAACAATATTATTAAATAAATTTAACACAACATTCACTACACTACATTAAAACTGTTTTAATAAGCAGCTACTTAAACAGTGAACAAGCCACACGTGTCACATGACTTGATGGTAAATAATTAGATAGATGCACACGGTTTTGCTTATTTTTTAAAGTCTATACCTGCTTTAAGCTATTACAATAAATTTTCATACAATGTGTTACCTATGAAACCCTGTGGAATAATAAACCTTCTTTTATGTCTTTATTTTTTTGGTTCACTCTATATAAGACCCAGGCGCCACTCGAGTTAGAGGGTTACGTTAAGGTGTAGATTATATAGATATGAAGGGAAGATAACTGTTGACTTTAGACTTGAACAGGTTAAGATTGTAGTGATCGGGGAAAGATCCACTTGGGAGTCTGTTCCATCGGTCAGTGGTTCTCACGGATGGAATACAGAGGAAATGTGGGTGGCTTGCTACTATGTAAGCGGCATGGCTGGTCCTAGACGCGAAGGTCAAACCTGGGGGAATCAGGAGATGCAGTTTGTCCGAGCACTTTCCATAGTGGTAGCGATAAAGCAGTGTGAGACTTGACCCATATCTCTTGTGAGTTTGGAGTGGGAAATAAGAACTTGGAAACGCTTTTTGAACTCTATCAACGGCACTCCAATTTCGGCCTGATCTCTGATAATGCCTAATTACTTTACTATATAATTTATATATTTACCATTTTATCTACTTTTATGAGGATTTTTTTTTATATAATACTACTTCTGTACCATAATAATTGTTCCATTTGCCTACATATTTCATACACTAAATATACCAACCATTATGGGACAGAGACAGTCTATTATTATTTATATAAGACTACATCTGTCTCATAATAACTGTTCCATTTGCCTACATATTTCATACTATAAAAAGTACCAAACATTATGGGGCAGAGGTAGTCTCTTATTATTTATATAATACTACTTCTGTTCCATAATAATTGTTCCATTTGTCTACATATTTTCAGATACTAAATGTACCAATCATCATAGGATAGAGGTAGCATATTATTATTTATATAATACTACTTTTGTTCCATAATAATTGTTCCATTAACCTACACATTTCATACACTAAATGTACCAATCATTATGGGACAGTGGTAGTCAATTATTATTTATATGATATACTTCTGTTCTATAATAATTGTTACATTTCCCTGTACATTTCATGCATTAAATGTACCAGTCATTATGGGACAGAGGTAATCTTTTATTATTTATATAATACTACTTCTGTCCCATATAAATTGTTCCATTTGCCTACACATTTCATATATAAAACGTACCAATCATTATGGGACAGAGGTAGTCAATTATTATTTATATAATACTACTTCTGTCCCATAATAATTGTTCCATTTGCCTACACATTTCATACACTAAATGTACCAACCCTTACGGGACAGAGGTAGTCTATTATTATTTATATAATACTACTTCTTTCCCATAATAATTGTTCCATTTGCCTACACATTTCATACACTAAATGTACCAACCCTTACGGGACAGAGGTAGTCTATTATTATTTATATAATACTACTTCTGTCCCATAATAATTGTTACATTTGACTACACATTTCATTCATAAAATGTACAAACATTACGGGACAGAGGTAGTCTATTATTATTTATATAATACTAATTCTGTCCAATAATAATTGTTACATTTGACTACACATTTCATTCATAAAATGTACAAACATTACGGGACAGAGGTAGTCAATTATTATTTATATAATACTATTTCTGCCTCATAATAATTGTTCCATTTGTTTGCATATTTCATACACTAAATGTACCAACTAATGGGTCAGAGGTTGTCTATTATTATTTATGTAATAGTACTTCAGTTACATAATAGTAGTTCCATATGCATACACATTTCATACATTGAATGTACCAACCATTATGGGACAGAGGCAATCTATTATTATTTACATAAGACTACATCTGCCTCATAATAATTGTTCCACTACTTCTGTCCCATAATAATTGTTTCATTTCCCAACACATTTCATACACTAAATGTACCGACCATTATGGGACAGAGGTAGTCTATTATTATTTATATAATACTAATTCTGTCCCATAATAATTGTACCATTTGTCTACATATTTCATACACTAAATGTATCAACAGACAGAAGCAGTCTATTATTATTTATATAATAGTACTTCAGTCACATAAGACTAGTTCCATTTGCCTACACATTTCATACATAAAAACTACCAAACATTATGGGACAGGGGTAATCTATTATTACTTATATCATAATACTTCTGTCCCATAATGATTGTTCCATTTGCCTACACATTTCATACATAAAATGTACCAGTCATTATGGGACAGGGGTAATCTGTTATTACTTATATCATAATACTTCTGTCCCATAATAATTGTTCCATTTGACTACACATTTCATACATAAAATGTACCAGTCATTATGGGACATAGGTAGTCAATTATTATTTATATAATACTACTTGTGTCCCATAATAATTGTTCCATTTGCCTACAGATTTCATGCAATAAGTGTACTATTATGGGACAAGTGCTGTGTATTAATATTTTTATAATACTACTTCTGTCCCGTTATAATTTTTTCATTTGGTTTTATATTTCCTATATTAAACGTAGTAACTAGTTTGGGACAAAGTTATATTATATAATACTACTTCAGTCCCATAATAATTGCCCCTTCTGTCTACATGTTCCATAGACTGAAACTACCACCTATTATAGGACAGATGGAAACCATTATTACTTATAGATTATAAATTCTGTCCCATAATAATTGATCCATTTGCCTACGCATTTCATACAGTAAATGTATCAAGTATTATGGGACAAACGTAGTCCATTATTATGTATACAATATTACTCCTGTCCCATAATAATTGTTCCATTTTCCTATGCTTTTTATACACTAAACGTACCAACTATTATTGAATAGATGTAGTCCATTATTACTCTCATGATATAACTTTTGTTCTATAATCATTGTTCCATTTTCCTGCGTATTTCGTACATTAAATGTACCAATTATTATGAGACAAACGTGGTCCATTATTACTTATATAATACTATTTCTGTCACATAATAATTGTTCCGTTTGCCTTCACATTTTATACACTGTATGTAACAATATTTTGTTGAATGGACCAAGCAGTGTTACAGCATATTGTTCAAAATAAATTTTAGGCCAAGCATCTTCCGCTTTTGTTGAGGGATTTATCCCGATTTGATGAAATAATTTTCGATGCATTACTAAAGACGCTGTTTTGCAATATAAAGATCTTATTTGCCAACAATTCACCGTGCAGAGAGAAAATAGCATTCTTGCTTCATAATTAAAAATAAAATAGCATTTTTGTTTCACAGTTCAAGAAAAAACAACAAATCTTTGAATTCAATAAATAAAAATATATTTTAAAAAATAATTTGTTTGAGAAACGAAAAGTAATTTCTTTCGTTTCTTTTTTTTTTTTAGGCGGGACATTTTTGTTTTGTTCATTTTATTTATTTTATTTCTTTATTGATTTACGAACTTTCCAAATATTTCAACATATTCTGAGGGAACGTTCGTATTTATATTCGGATGTTGTTCGTTGACAATATGAGTATTTTCTGGTAATACAGTCTGACCGTTTTGTCTCGTATTTAGTGAAATGTTTACTTTTTTCTCTGAAAGCTGAGCAGCTTTGGACGATAAGTTATTTTCAAAAACAATTTTCTTCCCGTCTTTTTGCGTGCTTTTCAGAAAGTCTTTATTCATTTTTTTCATGAGGTTTTTGTCTATTAGCGGACCAATCTGAGTGAACACCTTCAAAGGTGACGGTGATGGCAATGGCGTATTGTACGATGGCGTTCGAACACTTAGAGATTTCTTCTTTTCTTTCGTGTGACTGTAAGTGTAGAATGCTTGAACTATCATCCAAATATTGATAATTCCAAAAAAGAAGACGGACATAAAAAACAACACAAGAGAAACTGATTTCATTCGAAAAGGATTCTGGGTGTAGCAAGCAAAGGTCAGACAGATCACTGGCACAATACCACGAAAGACAAGAGTAAGATTACAGCCAGTCATGATAAATATATAATATCCATACATGTTTTTCGCGTGCAAGTTTGTGTCTCGAAGAATACGGCTGATTGCTACAGGCGTTGTGCTTAGTTCCATAAAAAGTCCGCAAATTCCGAGGAACGTATTCTGTTGGTAACTGCTGATGATGGTGTATGTACATAGCGTGACAATATGGTGAATTATTAATGCAGGAAACTTATTGTCTATTGGCATGACAATGTTACCGAATGAAAAGAATAAATATCTACCAATGTTTATGTTGAAAGTCAGTTTCAGGATTTGCGGAATGCTATAAACACTGGGAAAATAGAATGGATACTTAAGGACTTCGCTTTCTTTTAAAGAAACGCATCCAAGAATAAACGTTGTCAGTGTTAGGAATTGTTGAGTTATTCTGAAACTGAAACAGAAAATAAAATCATTAAAGATAATCATTAAACAAACGATATATTAACAGAAAAAAAGAATTGTTTTTAATTTCTTAAATAATCAACAATGCTTATTTTCTTACATTTTTATTTTATTTTATTTCTCTTTCTTTGAACAGTTTAAATTTGTCTGAATTTCTTCGATGAAGTCTTGTCAATTATTATTCATTGTTGACTAGTATTTCTTTCATCTTATTTCTCTTGTTTTTACACTAAGTAGTAATAGTCTTAAGTTGCCTGCATTTCTTAGATGAAGCATTGGCAATTATTATTAATTTTTGATTAGTATTTTCTTTCATCTTTCAAATTTCTCTTTGCTTTTACACCATGTAGTAATAGTCTTAAATTGTCTGGATTTCTTAGATAAAGCATTATCATTTATTAAATTTTCGACTAAAATTTGTATCATCTTAATTTCAGATGCTTTTTATCGCACCTGCCCAATCATTAAAAAAGCATCTGTAATTAGATTAGAATGAAAGAAATACTAAACAAATGCTCACGAAACGCACCTTAACGTAAACAATGACAACATAATATTGTCGGACAATTATTTGATATATTACTGTTTATAAACACACAATCTTCGTGAGCAGAAATGATCGATCAAGAAACATCGTCGAAGATTGTGTGTTTATAAATAGTAATTTGAACTTTGCTAACCAGACGCTTCTCTGTAGCTGAATGGTACCGCACGTCAAATCAAATAAAAATTTCCGTATAGGAATACAAGTTCGATTCCTGCCGGAGAACGCATATTTTCATACAAAATTTCTCAAACATTCTGGCCGGTAAATGTAATTAATACTGCTTAATTAAAAAACACAGAATTTACTTAAATAAATTTTATCTATAAAAATAACATATAAACAGAAAATATGTGATGGTTTTTAAGCTAATCAATAATATATCGAAAAAGAACTCCAGATTACGAATAATCTTTTATAAAAATAATATTGTGTGTGTGTGTGTGTGTGTGTGTGTGTGTGTGTGTGTGTGTGTGAACATTGAAGTCAACACTAAGAGGCGACAGACAGTTTCATGCTAGACGCAATCGTTAAGCCTGAGTGTTGACTTCAATGTTCACTTTTATATTTACATAGGCTCTACCTCTGATATTGAGCACTTTATCTTATAAATATAGCACACCTTAAAACTATACTTCGTAATATATTTATACACACACACACACACATATATATATATATATATATATATATATATATATATATATATATATATATATATATATATTAAGGAACTGCATTCTTAATCAAAACGAATTCATGAATAATTATATAGGACATACCACTACATGCTTATCAAGAAGGCACGCGTCACATTTCTCAGACCATAGCTCAATTAGGAACCATTTAAACATACACGGAAGCCTACTTCATTCGCAACATACTTGTAGTAAATACGACCATAATACCTTCATCCACAGGTTTAAAAAAACGACTAAAAATAATAAAGCTTTAATAATAAACAGAAAAAGACAACGCTCAGTAATATAAACTATGAACACGGCTAAAACGTGCTGACCGTGTTTGAAAAAACTAAAACATTTCCATCACTATAGATTCACATGTATAAAAATGTACATATTCAGTTAAAAATAAAAAATAAATTATTCTTGATAATGGCTGACAGATTGGCCGAAAAGGCTCAAAGGTATTAGAACATTTGAATTGTTTTACACGGCTCATATTCAGAAAAGAAAACACTTGTACGAAAGCACTATAACTTGAATAAAAAGCTTAATCGCAATACCCTGTCAGTTATTTTTAAGGAAACTGAGATAGAAGAGGTATTGATGACCAAATAAACAATATATATATATATATATATGTGTGTGAGAGAGAGAGAGAGAGAGAGAGAGAGAGAGAGAGAGAGAGAGATCTGGAGTGCTTAATATATAGTAATATGCCGGGTCGGTGTGTATTACTCCCAAATCTTCCGCGGGGTGGGAGTGGTTTAAGAATGTTGGGGGCCTCGGACAGTGCTTTGCGACACTCGCTATCTTCACAATATTTGCTTTTTTTCTACCGACATTCATATACTTTACAAATTAAACTAAGCACAACTGACTATTAAAGGATGAAACATTTTTTACATCATTCTGGGCGCTTTTTTTTTGCCCAAATCGCGAAAAACACTCTATAAAATTCACTAATTTTTTTTAGCTATAATATTGAATCTATATATAAAATTCTGTGACTTCCGTTAGTCCGCCCGCTCATGACACTCTAAAATAGGCATACATTGACCGATCGAAACCAAATTTTGGAGAGAAGCACAAACAGGTAAGTGGGGTACAAATGTACTTTGTACCCCACTTACCTGTTTGTTGCTTTTAGTAGAGTGCGTAGCTTAGTACAATAAATTTTCATTTTTTTTTTTCTTTTGAAAACGTAGAAGGTTTATTATTCAACATACTTCCACTATTTTAAAATCAATTTAATGGTTAAAATAACAAATATTTGTTAGTTGTTTTTTGCATATCTTTTCTTTAAGTTTTTATATATATGGAATATACAGGGTGTTTCAAAAAATTTGATATCATTTCGCAATCTAATAACTTTGTTAGATCTCCTTCAAATGACTTCAAATTTTAATAGCATCTTTATGTTTAATGTTTGTTTTATATTTTTATGTCTTTATGTTTTGTGTTTTTCTTATTTGTATTTTTATGTTCTTTAATCTTTAATCTTTTTCTTTACAGGTATAAAAATGCCGTGTCTCAGGCGGCGCGCATATTGAACATTTGTGAAATCGTTCACATAATCCACACGCTTTTGAATTTCTCATTCAGATTTGGAAGAATAAATCTTATGATCTTCAACATTAATACATTTAAATTTAATTTGCCTTAATCATGTACTTTCTGTGATATTTACATCTCAAAGGATATCAAATTTTTTGAAACACCCTGTACATATATATGTATATATGGAATTCAGTTTCCAGTTCGGCCTGCGTTTGCGAGAACTATAAACAAATCCCAAGGCCAAACACTTCAAAACTTTCCATCTTTCTGAAATCATCGTCATAGGTGCAACTGGTAAGGCAAAATCTATGTGTAGCTATCCATTACTGAATTTTTCCCTTTTGCGTTTAAATGCAACGTCTGACAGTTATGCTTTAGCATTCATTAGAACGTGAAAAAATTATCAATGATGGAATTTTTTCTTTTATGTTGGAATGTAATGGTCATGTGCGCATTAAAACGTGAAAATTGTTTTTTATTGACATTTTAGAACATTATTACAGTATTCGTAGCTGATTCTATTCAGTGTCGGCTTCAATATTTAATGTAGATTGCTTCGAGGATCTGTAATTTTAATTTGTTATTTTATTGGTGTAGGATAATTGTGTGATCAATCAGTATTTTTCTATAATGTGAATGTGGACAGGAATGTTGGTGTAAATGTTTCGCAATATCTTGATGATGATCTTAGAAAGAGATGGAAAGTACTTGGGAAATAAAAGTGATTTTCACTGTTACAATGCATTTCTTTCCTCATTTGATTGTAATATACGGAAAATATTCGTGAATATGAAAGGATTGTGATAAAATTAGGCAGACATAATGTTTGTAATTTATTCAATCAGACATAAAAAGAGAATTTGCTGCCTAAATACACACAACACACACGCGCATATATATATATATATATATATATATATATATATATATATATATATATATATATATAAGCAGTATATCTGCATTCATTGAATAATATATACATATATCTATTTATTTTTATAATGATCCTTTCCGGTTCTGTAATCAGTTTATTGATGTTAAGATGAAATTTATCAAGGAAAGCGCCGTACCATTTGTCCGTGCATTGAATATTTCTGCCATATCTGGTCTGTTACCGCAACTATATTTCTGAGATTCTTGACAAAATCCAAAGAAGGTTCTGTAATATTATCAGTCCTGACCTGGCATCTCGACTTCAGTCACCTCCTCAGCGATGTGACGTGGATTTTTCTGTGTTTTGTTTTTTTTTTAAATATAAATATTGTCATGGCATTTGTTTTAATGAACCCTCTTTTGTACTTGGAATGCATGAATTTAAACGTACTACAAAGGAGGCACAGTGGGGTAATGGCTAGCGGTTCAGATTGAGGAATCTGAGATACGAGTTCGAATTCCACTCAACTTCAACTTCACTGTCGAAACTCCTAAATGTAGCCGTCTCTTCTACTCTAATAGCTTCATATCTCGCACCTCTCGCCTGTGGAACTCCCTTCCCTTCTCCTGTTTCCCTGTGAGCTATAATCTCCAGCTATTCAAGTGTAATGTCAATCGACATCTCCAGTTGCCTTGATCTATCCACTACCCTCATCCTTTCTTCTATCACTCCTATCTGATCTTGCTCTAAATTTTCTGTAACCCCTTGCGTCCTAGTGGCTTCCCGCCTTTCTTGGGGTGAAATGCTTAAAAAAAACAACAACAATAACAACAACAAAAACATTCACTTACGTGCTAATACCCTTGGGAAATATATGAATCCTCTTCATCTCCCCGCCCCCAACTATGGGTAAATAGCAGGACAGACCGGGTTCTGTAGCTTTGGATGACAACTGATCTACCGCAGAAAGAAATGGCAACCTAATGCGGGAAAAAAATCTACCTCCTCAGTCATGACTGACAAGATCTCATCGTTTTACTGTATAAATTATAAACGCAAGGAAAGTGACTCGCTCACGTCTTTTCGTGCTAACGTTCTCAGCTGACATGAAGGGGAAAGATTATATTGAATCTAAACCAGCCGCTGAGAAAATCGATTCACTCTATCGTGCGAGATAATTTTTCTCTTCGGAGTCTATCTTACATACGTATACGTATATTCGTCCATACTTAGAAAATGGCTGCCATATATGGTCCAGTGCCCTATGATTTACCTTGAGCTCCTTGATAAGACCCCAAAAAGAATCAGCAATATTATTGGTCCTG